TCCATTTCCACTTCATTTCTTCCATAAAACTACAAACTCTTTAACAAAACAGCCAACTGTTCTAAGATTTTTTGCATTTTCAAATTTTTTATTTTTGCGCCACACACATTCGACGAAACAGAAGTGATTTTGACGGGATTGACCATGTTTTACATTTTTACCTAAAACAGGTTTTAGACGAAAATTCATTTTTTTGGAATTTTTTCCAAACTTTTTTTTTTCCGAACGATGCATGCAACAATTCTGTGGTTGAGCTACGGAAGAAAGCTGGCACAGTTTGTGCATGCTTTTATGGAAGATACAATTTCAAACTTTCATAAAACTTTTATTCAAGAGCCAATTTTTTTGATTCAATATAACATGAGCAAAAATATTTCATTTGAGCGCCAGCTAAGAAAATTTGACCAAAAGTCTAGAAAAACATTCCATCCAGTGTTCCAAAATCCAAAATTAATATTCCCAGATGGTCACTTAGAAAATCCCTGGCTTTCATTACATTTTCAAAAAAATTATAAATAAAAATGTTTTGTCCGTTTTTTACGTTTTTCCCTTATTTATTACAATTAGCTACAGAACATTAATAATAATCGTGTTTTCACTCGTCAGTCTTGTCACTATTCAGGCACTGCAACCCGCCTTACCTGGTCGCTACAGTTTAATAAAAACTGATAAGTGAAAGTAAAAAGGTTATTGGAAATGGCATATTACGGAATTTAAAAATTGTAGAAAAATCGAACTAGTAATTTCGCTTCAATTTGTATTATCCTTATTTATTCTTTTAAATTCTAGCTTTAATTTAAATAGGTATTTGCCAGAATTTATATAAAGATGAGGCAGTTGCAAATCACACTCACTGCAGGTGTATTGATTTGTGCATCTCAGTAAAGATAATTTCCGGGAAATAAAAAAAGACCTTTCTTAAAACAAATTGAGTTTCTCTCTACTTGTCACCCTTCTGTAGTCCGATATTTTAATATTTTCTTCCCAGCATTATTTTTTTGCAAATAAACGAAAAATTAAAAAAATCTCACTCCGGCTCTCACTCACTCTCACAGTGACGTGTCCAAGTGACGTCAGAGCAATCGGGCCTTGACTTGCGGTGGTGCCAGCTGTCACCACACTGTCTGAGACGTCAAACTCTTTAAAAGCGTATGATTGTTTGCGCTCTATTCAGAGAGTTGAAGTGAAAATCGGCCGAAATTTCTGGGAAAATATTTTCAGAGCAAAAATTAAACTAAAAAAATTATTTAGTTTAGGGAGGTTAGTTTTGGGAAGAAATCCTTCTTTGAGATACAGGCGAAACAAGAAAAGCTGTGTACTGGTCTTTATGGGGGTGAAACTTCAATTTCCCATAAAGAAAAGTTCCAACTCTTTGGCAACAGTCAATTTTTTAAAGGTTTTTTGCGTTTTTCGCGCCAGATAGATTCAACGAAACAGAAGTGAATGAAAAAGCGTAGAAAATTCAAACGGTTGAACTTAGCAAAGGGTCGATTCTACATTTTCCATTCATGTTGACCTCTTCTATCCAGTGGCGTGCTTGAAATTTGCTCACCGCTTTCAGTTTTGAAAATTAGAAGGTTTCTTAAAATGACATTCAAAAAAACATCATGTGCTTCCACTGAAAAATTACGTCAAATTTTTGACTGAAGAGTGACTATTGTTCATGGAAAACTTTGAATTTTTGCAGCCAAAAAAAACTTTTGGTTGCTTAGACTGAGATTATTTGCTTCGGAAAAAATTCCTTGGATAAACTGAAGATAAAAACCTCGCACAAGCTCTTGTGGCAGTTGAAAAGAAGGAACCCGACCATTTATTCCCGATGGCATAATTGTATGGTGCTTGTTGCAAAGGAACTGGACATTTCAATGGAATTAATGCGTCCGCAGTGGAGGGAAAAAAGTCAATACATCCAGCCTAAGTTATGTATTTCCTGCATATCTGACTGGGATTTTCGCTTTGTTGTGGCCATTTGAACGTCAGTTTTGCTAAATTGGCGAGCGTTGCGAAAGCAGCCACTTACGCTCGATGATAAGATAATCTCATAAAGCTCGTGGCGCTGCGAGTTATACTCTAGCAAGGACTATTACTGCTAATATGAAGAACTTGAACATCAATCGTGGCTCTTCTGATACACTCACCGGATTGGCGAAAAGGAGTAAAAAGGTAATAGGCGCCCATAAAGGAAATGGCCCAATCGCGGCTGTTAATGATGATAATCAAGATTACGAACTGAAATAATGTTAGTTTAGTCTGTCATAAAGTGAAAGAGTCATGAAGGGAATTTATACCGATCATAAACCGTTTACAGGCCCCCTTTAAGCTTAAGATCAAGGAGAACGTCTAATATAAAAACATAAATTATGACCGCAAATAGCTCAGTGGTGGGTAATTGTGCATTTTCACGTTTCGATCCCAAGATACGCGGAGGGGCATTAAATCTGAGCTGTTTATAATTAAAGAAATTTTAACGCAGTGCAATTACGAGAAATTAATTTGCTTTTTATTGGCCAGTCTGCGTCATAAACATTTAATGTCGGCTCCATTAGCTTCTAGATAATGGGCGCAATTAGACGGGGATTATGTCCGCTCAATTTAAACACCCTGTATGCCATTGCCTTCAAAAATCACTGCTCACTTCCTGTTCATTTCAGTGATAACTTCGCTTCAAATTCACATGCAAATACCAAATGGCTGTTTTTTTTTCCGCATCGGGAAAGTACCGCAATTTCGCATCTAATCCGGCAAAAGCATTCGTTGCGTATCCCACTCACTGATTTACCCTAAGAAATGCTGCCCATAAATACGAAAAACAACAAGAACGCTTCCAACTAGCTTTATCTGTTCCGGTTCTTGCCGCATTTTTTCCCCCATTAATTCCTTCTAAGAACAGAGAAACCGTGCAGAGATGAATCGCTTTTCTTAATGTTATGCCGCGCATCGATGTTTCTAATGGCACATTTCACACCTTTTTACAGAACGATTGTACCTTTTAATTGCTTTATGCTAATTAGCGTTCGGGCTCTAACTGCAGGAAATCGACTAGCGGAGTGTGGATTTATTGGGGTTTTTTTCCCAGCAGAATGATGTTCAATTCGGAGTCGAGTGGACCGATTGAGGGAGAGGAGTTTGTTCAAATCGCGCAAGTTAAATGGGTTTTTTTCTGTCAATCAACACTTCAGCTCTTCGAGAATCGGTCGAATTTTCTTCGCAAATGGGTTAAACTGAGAATATTTTGCTTGGAAAATCATCCATTCAAAATCAAAATGTTAATAAATGTCAACTTTTCCAACTAATATACATTTCTCAATCATTTTTTTTTTCAAAAAGTTGTCTGAGTTCGAACTCGTTTTACTCCCTTGCTGTTGCCGCTATCCAATATGAGGCTGGAATAGTTTTTATAGCTGCTTCTTCGGGCTTTTTGGGGGTTTTGGAACTTTTGAAATGTCTTCACATTTAACGAGGTTGCGGGCTTTTTGGGTTTTTGATTTTGGTCAAGAAGACGATGTTATTGAAAAGTGGAGTTTTGGTCTAAATGCTAAAAAGTGAAAAATTTGCACTTTTGCCATTTTCAAAAATTTTGAAAAATTCCCACATTTTTGAAAAATTTAAGAAATTGCAAAATTTTTTTGCAATTCTATTTCTCAACCACTGAGCTGCTCTTAAAAATACATTTTGGGGTTTAAAAGATGTTGGTACTCTGCCAAACTTGTAGCAAAGGAGCGTCTTTCCCGAAACAACCAGCACTTGAGATCTTTGAAAATTTAAACTCTCCTGGCGCTGAAACCGTGACCAAAATGAACTTTAGCCCTGAAGAGATTTTTTCGCCAAGTCTATGGGCTTTTGAGCAGTTTTTGAATTTCTGGAAAATATTGATAACTAACCGAGTTACAGGGTCAAGAGTGCAAGTATGTGCAAGTTTCAAAGTTTTACGCTTGCCAATGTTCAGAGCCCATTTCGTCCCAAACTGTTGCAAATACAAACTTTCTTATTCAATTCGAGAATTCACTTTGCAAACAATCTGATGTTCCGTTTTGAAAATAAAATAGTCGAGGTTAAAATCCAAAGTATTTTGTTCGGGAAATCGTCTTTTCGACCTTAAAATCATCATAACTTCCAAGTTTTTCTACCGATTGCAATTATCCCACATGCAGTTTTTATATAAAATCGTGTGTTTTTCAAAAAATTTCCAAATTTCCAAATTGCCCCGATATTAACAGTTGTGCAGAAAATCGGTACATACAAAAACCTGTTTTCCACAAAAAAAAAACGACATTAAATCCACAAAGAAAACATTGATAACATTTATCTTGGAAATCGCCTTTGCGACGTTGAAACTCTTATAACTTTCAAGTTTCTCAACTGATTCCAAGTGCAAAATACGATTTTAATAGACAAAATCACTCGCTTTAGAACGATTTTTTTGCAGCTGATCGTCCATTGGATTCAAGTGGCTTCGGATATGCCGAAAAGCTCAGAAAACTTGCCGCACTGAACATTTAGTCAGAAATTTGGGAGTTTTAAGCAGCATCCAAATGCTTTTTTGATTGCCTTCACCTCGTTTCTCAAAGCTAAAACAAGAATTTGGGCAAATTTCAAAAAAGTTCCCCGTAAAGTTGTTGGAGGTTGGGCACCTCAGCACCTAATTCTATGCAAAATGCCGAAGATCCCCACTAATTAAACAAACAAAACACTTCGGGTCTGTAGGAGCTATAAGCAATCTTCCAAAGTCACTGCTATTGATTTATCAACAGTTAAATCCTTGAATCATTAGGTGTTTATGCTTTTTCTCCACTTTTCCTCTGTTTTATGGTAAATTAAAACCGTTTTTATGCGCGCAATTACACCTCGATTTGTACGCAATATGTATCTTCGCTGGCCCTGCACAATCAAAAAGTGTTTCGTTTTTTCCCCGGTTAATGATAGATATTTGATGATCATCCCGTGGACAATAATTAGCCAAGTCACTGGCCTACCTGCAAGCAAAAATAATTATCACTTACCGTTGTTGTTATGAAGTGCAGCCATGTCCAAACGACTAGCGGAAGAATTATCTTCATTTTCGCTGAAACAGAGAAACCAAGAGTCAGAGAGCATGTCGTCAATTAAAAATAATTGTATTCACTTTTCATTCATTCGCTTCTTGTGCGATGAGACACCCAACAAAAGAAATAACCGATTTGTTCGAATTTAACATGCTCAACAAGGTGCTGGCATAAAAATCCTAGAAGAAGTAAAGTCGAATTCATGAACTCGCGTAATGCTCAGATTACCATCTTTGTTCGCTTGGCCTACATTTGGGCCGTTGCTGCTTTATTCTCAAGACTTTTTAAGCGTTTTTCGGATGCCGGCCCATTATGTAACCCGTAACGGAGCCCGGTTAACCGTTTTTCTGATACGAATTTACTCACCATTCTTCACTTCAAAGCCGACGTCGACAGCTTAAGTTCAACATGTAAATGGACCGATTTCGGGTTCTTCGTTACCGACTGGCTCAATTTGTTTATGCATACTTTTCTGGTTTAGGTTGCATCAAGGCATCACGCTGAGCGTTCCGGGCTGAATTTGTTCAATAATCAGTCACGCGGGTTTCCAACATTTATGCCCCCATCGTAAACACTTCCTTGTTGCTCAACTCCTTAATAATTTCACTTTAGATGCAGTTAAACAGCGCACGCTTTGGCCAATAACCGTCGCTTAATCTAGTCTTAAGAAGCTTAAGAAGAGCCTCGTCAAATGTCTTCAAACGCATGTTGCGCTTACAGTATCCAGTTCTTCTCCCCAACAACGTTCACATTCCTCAGTACGTAGGTTTGAGGAAAAAATAAAGGAAATAAATGGCCCCTTTAAAGTCTATGAGCCGAAAAAGCATGGCGGGTTAACGATCTTGATAATGTGATCGCGTCAAGGCGTTTTACGTACAAGACGCCTTAATTCAAGCAAGAAGAAAGTGACATGTCTACCTGCTCATGAAGATAAGGGCCTCATATTGTGTTAACATCATTTTTAAGCGCGTGTTCGGCTTCATTTTTAAATTACCGGGCCTATTAAAGCGCGTCCGAGTCGGACCTTGATGGCTTTGAGAAAAAACAGCTTTTGTTTTTGTTTTGATGACGGTGTAGGTCATTAGTGGCGAAGCTTGCCATCTTCCCAAGAAGAAATAGAAGGATGGGACGTAATTAGCTGCAATGCATCTATTGTTTTCGGCTTCAAGTTCCTGTTCGGGTTCTTCACTTATTTTAAGGCCTTCAAGCACCTCAATTAGATCGGGAGGAAGTGATTGGCCAGCTTAAGGTGGCCGAGGAGAAATTGTAATCATCCATTTAAGGATGCCATCACTTTCTCTTTTCGGTTGTCCGAATGCATGGGTTTTTTAAGGCTGCAAGGATTGCAACACTCGGTTGCTCAACTCCATGCAAATGTTGCCATTTGTAAACAGAGTTGTTTTGAAGAAACCTGCTTTGTTTTGTCAATCAAAATTGAGCTTTTTGTGCCATTAAATTGAAATTTTCGGAACTATTAGACTCAACTCAACTGTCTTCTATAGATGGGGAAATTTTCAAGGTGCTACTTGGTCTTGATTGGAAGTTGTGGTTTTTTAACCGAAGGCGTGTAATTGTGAGGAAACGTTCTTTTTCAGGCCCGCGTTTACTCGGCTGGCAAAAATCAGGTTTCAGCTCGTTTAGATTGAGATTTTCTAAGGTTTTGCACTGCCATGTCTACTGCTGGTGGGGTAAATTTCAAATGTACACTTGATTTATATTCAAAGTTATAACATTTTAAATGAGAGC